TCCTGGAAGAAGATAGTCCAAGTTGTGCACCTGTGCAAAATTTAGTACTGGAATGCAGTGTTCTGTTTGACAGCTCAGAGGATCTGTAGTAATTTTTGCAAATTGCTGCATTTTTAAGCCAATCTGAGACAAGTGTACAGGGTGATTTGTTCATTATCAATTGAAATAATGCAAATTGTGATGGTACTTCATGACCCTCTAACAGAGTTGTAGGTGGATTTTCATCCTTAATATTTATCAAGCACCATCTATGAAACCAGAAACTGATTTGTACAAGTCTTAAGTGGTTTAGGGCATTATAGAAACGTAGAATATGACGACCGATAAAAACCAGTCGGCCAGTGGCATAATAAAGGGGGGGGGGGTGGGTGCCCGGGGCAGCATGTTGACTCCTGGGCCCCTCTTCATCATGCAAGAAGACACAGATGCAGCAAAATGCTGCTCTTGTGTCTTCTTGCATGGTGAAAAGGGAACCAGGAGTCATATTGCACCCTCCAGCAGCAGCATGTCTTCCTATTGCAAACAGTGAGATTGTTGCTACAATGCTACCAGAGCATTCACGGCCAACGTGAGGCAAGGGCATGCTGCTGCTGAAGGGTGCAAGATGTCTCCTGGGTCCCTGCTATAACCACCAGGGAAATGTCCCCCACTTTCCTGGCCACGGGTAGGGGAAAAATAGTGTGTGTAGTGCATTTTGTTTGTTGTGTGATAAGTACTGGGGGGTGCAGTTTTTTTTTTTTTTTGTTTTTTTTTCTAAATTAGTTGGGCTTATTCCCACTCCCTGCCTCTTGCCTGTGGAGGGAACGGGGGAATAAGCCCAACTAACAGACACTACATTCACTGTGGCGAAACCGGCCTCGCCACGTGTCCTTTGATGGGGCTGCTTGCCCGCCTCTTGCCTTTGGACTATGGACCAGACTTTATGTGAATGTATTAACCCAGATAGCTATGCCATGGAGCCCATTCGTGTAGTTAAAGACTTCGGCTCCATGGCAGTTGAACTGTGTGAATAGGATCTGAGCGCTATTCGGTAGTTTTGTGCGCTCAGATCCCAGCTATCTGGGGATGTGACATGTCTGTTTTATGTATAAAATGTGACTGTGTATTTTATAATATTTTAATGCTTTGTGCTCACCATGTGCATAATGGAGTCTTGTGTCTGTCCTGGGAGATAATTGAATTACTTCTCAATTCAATCTCCAGGATAGAAGACTCTGAAACTGGTTTGGGCCGGAAAGCCATGCTTCATTTAGTCACAAAAGACTTTCCCTTAACTTTTGAACCCCTGGTCTGATTCGTGCCATTTTTTAATATGTTGTTCCCCTGAATGGATTGATTATGAAAATGTATGCTTTATGTTTGTGACATGTATATTTTATAAGTTATAAATATTGTGTAAAAACTGTATTCCTCTGCCGGTGATAATGAGATTACCCATTGTGTTCAGTAATCATATCACAGGCAGAGGGGAGGAGTTTGTGTGGGAGTGTCTGGGTGTATTGTACGGATTGATTGTTTTGTAACGCTCTGTGGGCTGTACTATGTTTGTGGATTGGGAATAAAAGACTGTGTGACAGTACAGGGAGTTCCTGTTTAACCCTCAAAGTGAAGTGTCGTCTCATTATTGGGGGAAGGATTTATTGTATGCTGTTCCAGTTTGACTGCTAGGAGGTTAAACCTATTCGTATGGTTTCCTATTCAACTGTCTACAGCATTCCTATGCTTGGGAGAATTTGTTTTTCCGGTTCGGTGATTGTGGTGTCTGCCAGAGTGCTTGGAGTCCTCAGGAAGCGCTAGGAGCATCCTTCAACGGAGGTACCCAGTCGGGGTGCCAGGCGATCCGTTACATTCACTAAACACACACTACATCCACTATACAAAAACATTGCATCAGCTACACAAAAAACTCCTTCACTGTGTTAACCTCTACCACTGCAGCTGGAAGGCTATTCATTGCATCCACTACCCCTTCTGAAAAGTAGTACTGCCTGATATTTTTAAACATTTGCCCCTCTGATTTAAGACCATCCTCTTGTTGTGGTAGTTTATTTTAAATATACTCTCCTTGATGTTGATTCCCTTTATGTATTTAAATGTTTGTCATATCCCCTGTGTCTAGTCTTTCCTCCAAACTATACATGTTCTATCCTTTAACCTTTCCTTGCAAGTTTTATCCTGTAATCTATGAGCCAGTTTAGTAGCCCTTCTCTGAACACTCTCTAAAGTATCAATAACCTTCTGGAGATAGGGTCTCCAGTACTACGTACAATACTCCAGGTGAGGTCTCACCAGTGTTCTGTACAATGACATGAGCACTTCCCTCTTTCTACTGATATTACCTTTCCCTATACAACCAAGCATTCTGCTAGCATTTCCTGCTGCTCTATGCTTCAGTAGTGAAACTTTTAAATAATCCATTTCTATTGGACTCCATTTAAATTGCTCTAATCTGATTGACTCAGTTACACATTCTAATTTTAGAAAAGTCTTTTTCTAAAGTCTAAAACTTGCTTGTGTGGTGTGACTGTCATTGTTCTTATATTAAACCGCACTGACTGGTGATCACTGGATCCTAAACTTCCACCTACAGTAATATCTGATACTAAATCTACATTTGTTAACATTTGTTAAGTCTAGTATGGCTTCCTTAAAAGTTGGCTCTTCAACGACTTTTTTTAGAGATAATCCCAGTAAGGATTTTAGAATGTTTGCTCCTGGCACAAGCAGCTATTTTGGTTTTCCAGTTCACATCAGGAAGATTAAAAATTCACCCATGATGATAACTTCATTGTCATTTTAGCTATTTCCTCAACTTGTAGATTATTCAACTATTTGTCCTGGGGGCTTATAAATCACATCTACACAAGTTATTGTGTGATTACCAAATTCTAACTTAACTCAAACTATGTTCACCTCACTTTTATTAGGCTAGAGTTTATGCTATCCTTCACATACAGGAACACCTCTTGCCTTATCTGTCTTTTCTATGTAATGAGTACCCTGGTACTGCTATATCCCAGTCATTTTTCTCATACCATGTCTCCGTAACAGTGACTAAATCTACATTAGTTATTATTGCTACAAGTTCATGGATCTTATTTCCTAAACTGTGAGCATTCGTAGACATGACTTTGCTTATTTTTTAAACACACTTGCAACGGGCACTTTCTGTCCTTGTTTTGGGGGGCAGTTGGATTGATGTTTTATCACCCTTTTGCATCCCCCTCCTAGTTTGAATATGTCCTAGCAAAACCTCAACTGCTCACCGAGAACATTTGTTCCTTTTTGAGAAAGATGCAAACAATCTTTTTTCTATTCCAAATAGAGCTACCATGCGAAATGAAGCCAAATCCTTGCTCCCGACACCATTCACGAAGCCACAAGTTAAAGTCCCTAATACGCTTCCGCCGGTCATTCTGAATGTTATGCTCAGGCAGAACTTCAGAGAATGACCGTATAGAAGCAACAAGCCGTAGATTATTGGCAAAAACACACAAAACTTCCTATACCTCTGAAAGCTCATTGCAAGACAAGTAATTTGTCCTTTGATGGACAATAACATCCAATTCCCCTCCTGATTTGCTAGCGTAACCATATTAAAAATACATCTCCTGTCTCTGCGAGCAGTAGCTCCAGGAAGACATCTCACGACCACTATTGTCCAGCTCCACACCTTGTGTGATAGAATCCCAACAACAGCTTTCTATCAGGCCTCACCTTATATTTTTTTTTGTCATTGGCTGCAGTCTTGCACAGTTTTGACAGAGTATGGTGGTCTCCACAACACCACTGCACTCAAAGAGTACTAAAAATTTGTAGACCTGCACTATTCAATATGCCTTTTATCTACAACTAAGTCTACCAGATCCTACAGTACACCATCTGGCATTCCTAGGAAGTCTCTGCAACAGTCCTAGACTATGATGGTTTGGCAGATATTTTAAAAATATCAGACTTCAAAAATACAATCTCCTGCCACAATATAGAGGACTGTCTACAGATTAGACAGCATCCAAATCTCCAAGTAGTGGAATGTGAAACAAATGCAGCTATTACACTGAACCAAGTCTGACATTTGAATGAGGAGTAATTTAAATCAAATAAGTATTTTT